GCTGAACCATCTTTCCAGCCCCTCTTTTTTTTAATTATTATTATTATTTTATTTTTTTAAATTTTAGTAATGGGGCTTTTTGCTACTCTTAACATTCCTCCCTCTAAAGAGGTAACCCTTCAATCTTTTTTTTTGACATTTTTGGTCTTTGAACAGAGTATGTTGCTAAGAGGTCCAAGGACATTTTGACTTAGCCAAGAAACTGGCTGCTTTTCTTTGGGGTCTTTTTACCCTAACTGCCTAGCCAATTCCTACCTCCTATTCTTACCACACCATCCTCTGAAGAGGTTGCCCAAATTGCCAATGGGGTCAAGCTGGACCTTTGACTTATCTTCACATAGTTGGAACTGGTAAAAGAAAGGAGCCAGGGGCTCCTCCCAAGCCCATGTGACCCCTGAGATACAGATCCTCCAATGACCTTAAGAGTAAAAATAAATTGTATGGTCTTAAACATCCAAAATGGAAGTATAACCAAGGATTAAAGTGATCAGTATATTTCTTTAAGAGTTTGAGGGATTACATGTCCCAGACATTAGGCTTAAGTCCATATAAAATGTTATTCAGACACTTACTTCTCATTGATGATTTTGTTTCTAATCAGAAAGAACTTGTTTTTTAGACAGGGTCTTGCTATGTAACACTGTGTGGCCTCAAGTGATCCTCTTGCCTCATCCTCTCAAGTATTGCAATTAAAGGCATATGCCACCATGCCTTCCCATATTTATTTTTGATAAATTGTTTATGTAATTGTGTAACTTTTAAAAGTAGTTTCTGAATTTTTTTTTTTTTGGTCTTTTTGAGACAGGGACTCCCTGTAGCCCGAACTGTCCTGGAACTCACTATGTAGACCAGGCTGGCCTTGAACTCACAGAGATCTGCCTTCCTTTGCCTCCTCCTGAGTGCTGGAATTAAAGGCTTGCACTACCATGCCTGGTGTTGAATTTTATTTTTTTTAAAGATTTTATATTTATTTTATGTGTATTAGTGTTTTGCCTGCATGTATATAAGTGTCATACAATGCCCACGGAGGCCAGAAGAGGGCATTTGTTTCCCTGAAACTGGAGTGATAGATGGTTGTAAGCTGCGATGTGGGTACTGGCAACTCTATCCAGGTTCTCTGGAAGAGCAGTCAGTGCTCTTTAACCACTAAGCTATCTCTCCAGCTCCAAACTTGGAATTAATTAAAAAAAAAAAATTTATAGGTATGAGTATTTGTTCTACATACGTGTAAGTGTACCAACTGCATGCAATGCCCACAGAGACCAGAAGAGAGCATTGGATCCCCTGGAACTGGAGTTAGGCATGGTTGTTAGCTGCCAAGTGGGTGCTGGGAACTGAACCTGAGTCCTCTGCAAGGGCAGCCAGTGCTCTTAACCGCTGAGCCATCTTTCTAGCTCCTAAACTTTGAATTTTATATTCCATTAATGTGGTCATGAGCAAAACATTTAAGTTTGTAGAGTATAACCGTAGAACAAGTATGAATTAAGCATGTGTTATGATCTGTGCTGTAGCAATGCTGAAATACTCTGGTTAACCTTGATCATGGAAATTTGGACAGCAGGTTAGTTTTGAGATAGGATCTCTCTGTAATGCTGGCAGGTCTCAAACTCTTTGGCTCAAGAGATTTCGCTTGGCCTCCTTTACAGGTGGGAGTACAGATATGCACCATTTTAGACAGACCTTAGAAATATAATTTGTATTAAATCACTAGTCCTGCTTTAACAAAATACCCAAGATTAGGTAACTTATAAGTACTAGAAATTTACTTCTCAGAACTAGAGGCTGGGAAATTCATAATCAGTTCCATGCCTGGTGAGGGCCAAGTCTTTGCTCCAAAGCAGTGCCTTAAATGTCCTCACATGGTACAACATAAAAGGACCCAAAGCATCAGTATTAGTTTCCTCTAACTCTTCTATTAAATCACTGTTTGGAATTCATGATGTCTACTCCTGTGATTTATTCAGTTTCTTTTTTTGGGGCGGGGGGGGGGGTCTTTTTGAGACAGGGTTTCCCTGTAGCCCCAGCTGGCGTGGATTTGCTATGGAGACCAGACTGGCCTCAAACTCCCAGAGATCCGCCTGCCTCCTGAGTGCTGGGATTAAAGGCATGCGCCACCATGTCCAGCTGATTTATTCACTTTGTAAAGGCCCCACTTATACTACCAGAAAATGAGCTGGAGAGATAGCTCAGTTGATAAAGTGAGTTAAATCTCAGAACCCTCTTTTAAAAAGTTGGATGTGGTGGCATGTGCTTTAATCCCAGGACTGGGGAGGTAGACACAGGTAAAACCCTGGGACCTACCGGCCAGCTAGCACAGCCTATTTGGGGAGTTCTAGGCTAGCGAGAGATTCTTGTCTCAAAGATGTATAGTACCCGAGGAATAACCTAAGGTTGTCTTCTGACCTCCACTCTCCACTCCCACATGGGCACATCTACCTGCCTGTATGTGCCATGCTCACCTTTGTGTAGGTTCTGGGGATCCAGTCCCCTGTCCTGGTGCTCACATTTTGAGCATTTTACCCATTTTTCTGTCTTTGAAGCCCCTTCAAATTTCCTTTCAAGTCTCTTTTATCATGCCAACTACAATACATGAAAATGCAAAAAATTAAGTTAGTTTTGCAAGCTTTATAAAATTCTTTCAGGATATAGATCTTCCAGCTAATTTTATCTTTTAGTGCTTCCTATCTAAGTACTTCCAGCTAGACTAAATTGTTTTTGGTGTAAACATACCATTGGGATCTTGCCCCTGTGCTTCCTCTGACGTTCTTCACTGGACATGATTTTTTTGCTAACGTGTTTGTCCTTAAGTTTCTGTTTATGAATCACCTTTTAGGCTGCCCTCACTCTTTGGAGAGAAAAGCGATGCTCTTTTTGTGTGCTCTTGGGGCTTCAGTGATTATTCTCTAATGCCCACTGTGTTAAGATTCCTAGCTTGGTATGAACAGATTTCTGTAGAATCAGGGTTATGACTTGTCATTGAATGTTTAATACCTGCATTGGTTCTGCCATATTGTATCTCAGTAGGTACTTACGAAATGAGTATTATATTAATGTAATTATTAATTACTGATCATTCTTCCCAGAATTATCCAAGTCAGGGCTGCAGATTTTATGAGTTGATGGGCTAATACTTCATATATAATTCATTTATTATCTTTATTTAGGCATAGATGGTTTTTGTTACATGTTTTGACTTTGTGTATCTTTGAAATTTATCCCTGCTTCAGGTGGAAGATGCCCTGTCCTATCTTGACCAGGTGAAGCTGCAGTTTGGTAGTCAGCCCCAGGTCTACAATGATTTCCTTGATATCATGAAGGAATTTAAATCTCAGAGGTAATAGATACTTGTGGGTACACTTAAATTTATGCTAGATACATTGATTTTTTTTTTTTTTTGTGGGGAGAATGTTTTAGCTCAGGCTGGCCTTGAATTCTAGGTGATCTAGTGTCTCAACCTCCTGAGTGCTGGGCTTAGAGGCACGTACCACCATTCCTTACTGTATATTAGTTTCTTGATGGAAATTAGCCACTGTTTTAGTTTTCTCTATACTGGTACATTTTTCTTTCTTTTTTATTTTTTATTTTTTTTTATCTTTTTGAGACAGGGTCTTCCTGTAGCCCCAGCTGGCCTGGCACTCACTATGTGGACCAGGCTGGCCTCAAACTCACAAAGGTCCACCTGCCTCTGCCTCCAAAGTGCTGGGATTAAAGGCATGTGCCACCACGCCCAGCCTTAGTGTTTTTTTTTAAATCAAGGAACTATTAATTTTTTAGGCTCCTTGACTTTTTTCACTGGTATAAGCTGCCCTGCCATTTTGGCACAGTGAGCTGTTATACGAGCATAACTGACCTGAATGATGCAAACACATGCCCAATATGATTTGTACTGGTATATCAAAGCTTTAGCCTTACCTGGGGAATTACAGTTTTAATTGTACCATCTGTATATCTACTTCACAGAACTGTTACCAAATTGTTACCATGAATGTATATTTTGTTCGAAATTGTGATCAAGCCTCTAGTGCTAAAGCTAAACAGTTTTGAAATTTGAGTTATTTTTCATTGGTTGCAATATGCAGATAGAGTTTTGTGTTTTTTTCTCTTTAGAGTAAACCTAGTAAAAAGTTAAGATTTTTCTTCTAAAGTTTGCCTAACTTGCCTCTCATTTTTTCCCCCTTTTTCCCTTTTCTTTTGTCAGTATTGATACTCCAGGAGTGATTAGTCGTGTGTCACAGCTATTTAAAGGCCATCCTGATCTAATCATGGGCTTCAACACCTTCTTGCCTCCTGGCTACAAAATTGAGGTGCAAACTAATGACATGGTGAATGTAACAACTCCTGGCCAGGTTCATCAGATCCCCACCCATGGCATCCAGCCCCAACCTCAGCCACCACCTCAGCATCCTTCCCAACCTTCAGCCCAATCAGCCCCAACTCCTGCTCAGCCAGCTCCTCAGCCCACACCTGCCAAAGTCAGCAAGGTGAGCACTTGGAAAGTGTTACACCATATGAAACGCATACCCTAGAAAGTACTTCTTTGACATTTTCCCTGTATAAGACTCAGATGTCATTAGAGAAGATGCTGACCTCTTACCATTGCATGGTTCAAATTATAGATATATATATAGTTCTGTGTACAGCCTGTGGGACTCTGTTGTCCTGAACTTCTGCTTAATGAACCATGGTGACTTGTAGTAGTACTTCATAGGGATAGAGTGTGTGGGTGTAGGTGTTTTGCTGTATTTGTGTATGTGTGTGTGTGTGCATGTGCACATGCCCGTGTATGGTTTTTTTTTAAGTGGGTTTTGCTGTGTTGCCCAGGCTGGCTAATTTTAAAATCCTTAGGTGGTCTCCTGCTTCAGCCTTTTGAGTACCTGGGACTCTAGGTGTTGCCACTAGCTTAGGAATGAGAATTTGATCATGGTCAAAATTGGGCTATACCTACATTTTCATCATTTTACAAAAGTTGTTGTGGAGCTAGGCATTATAACATACACATGTAATCTCAGCACTTGGGAGGCGGAGACAAGAGAATGAGGCCATCCTGAGCTACATGAGATACTATCTCAAAAAATCATAAACAAAGAAAAGTTACTGTTTGCCAAATTAGCTCATATCAAGCCAAGCAGAAGAAAATTACATTCTTGATCTGATACAGTGTCACTAGCCACATATGATTAAATTTTAATTAGAACAAATTCAGTATTTTAGGTACTCTAGCTAAATTTCCTGTGCTCAAGATTCACAAGTGGCTAGTGGCTCTTGTAGAGGATGGTGCAAAGAAGAAGCTCTCCTTTGTCCTCAGGAGCTCTGTTGAATAGAGCTGCTCAAGAAACACTGCATGTTGAATTACCTTGTTATTCTTCACATTAAAAATCTATGTATAATTAGGTTTTAATTTTCACCTGTTAAACTAGTGAATGTCAAAATGTATATGAAATATCCTTATGATTAGAAATGACTCATGTTGGGGCTGGAGAGATGGCTCAGCAGTTAAGAACACTGGTTGTTCTTGCAGAAGACCCCAGTTCGAATTCCAGCACCCACATGGCAGCTAACAACTGTCTGTTACTCCAGTCCCAAGGGATCCAACAGCCTCTTCTGTCCTCCGCAGGCATTTCATGACATGGGTGCACTTACCTAGAAGCAGGCAATACATGCATACACATAAAAATTAAAAAAAAAAGACTCCTGTTTTGAGGTTGTAGTTAGAAAATTTGAGGCTCAGATTACTATTAGAATATGTAAAACTTCTGTATCTTTCACCTCTGACCTGTATGATTTGAGTTGTATGGCTAGGCCTGAGTGAGTAAATGAAGAATATGACTTAACTAGATACCTTGTCCTTTTTGATTTGAATTTTCTTCCTCCATGTCAAATCATCTATGCTCCTGAGAAAAATTCTTTTTTCTTTTTAGCCTTCCCAGCTACAAGCACATACTCCAGCCAGTCAGCAGACTCCCCCACTCCCACCATATGCATCCCCACGTTCTCCACCGGTCCAGCCTCACACACCAGTGACAATCTCATTGGGATCGGCCCCACCTTTGCAAAACAATCAGCCTGTGGAGTTTAATCATGCTATCAACTATGTTAATAAGATCAAGAACAGATTCCAGGGCCAGCCAGACATCTACAAAGCATTCTTAGAGATTTTGCACACATATCAGGTAAGAGAATTATTCTTTTAAGTCTGTCTTAACAAGGCTATCCTCAGAGGGTATTAAGTCTGAGAGGAACTTGAATATCCATTATGTCCACTAATTCTTACTGGGAATATAGTTAGAAACTATGTATTTATGAAGCCAGTTTTACTTGCCTGCTTTGTGTGCCCTTTATAATAGCAAAGATTTTTAAAATATACTTAATTTGTTATTTATCTATTTTTTTAATGTGTATAAGTGTGTTGCCTGCATGTATATAAGTGCACCTGTGTTGTGCAGTGCCCACAGAGGTTAGAAGAGGGTATCAGGCTCCCTGGAACTAAAGTTATGGATGGTTGTTAGCCGCAGTGTGGATGCTAGGAATCGAACTGGGTCCTCTGCAAGAACAGCCATTGCTTTTAACCACAGAGCCATCTCTTCAGCCCTTCCTGTAGTAAAGATTTTTAAGGGTATTAGTCTATTAAAGTGAAATACCTGTTTCATATTGGAAGTTTAGAGGGCAGTTTATGTTCCTTGATTAATTTACAATAGAAGACTGAGGAATTTCTGTAATGTCATGTGTTTATTAGTTGACTAAAGGACCCCTCTGACCATTCACATTTTCTACCTTAGTTTCATAAAAATTATCTTTTTAAAAAAATATTTTATTTTTATGTATAAGAGTGTTATGCCTGTATGGAAGTGCACCCGTGTCATGCAGTGCCCTCGGAGGACAGAAGAGGCTGTTGGATCCCCTGGAACTGGAGTTAATGGACAGTCGTTAGCTGCCATGTGGGTGCTGGGATTTGAACCTGGGTCTTCTGCAAGAAAAATCAGTGCTCTTAACCGTTGAGCCATCTCTCCAGCCCTGTAAGAAATTATCTTGCACCTCATCTTTCAACTTAAGAAACTGCAATCTAAATAACTACTAAGAACTTTCTTCAGGGGCATATGACATGGCTCAGTGATTAAGAGTACTGGCTGCTCTTACAGAGGACCAGGGTTCAATTCCCAGTACCCACATGCTGGCTAACGACTGTCTTTAACTCTAGTTCCAGGGGATTTGACACCCTCTTCTGGCCTCTGTGGGTATTGTACACACATGGTGTACTTAGAGACACTCACATATGTGTGTGTGTGTGTGTGTGTGTGTGTGTGTGTGTAAATAATTATAAGTAAATTTAAAAATTATTTAGGAAAGTAGATGATATGTTATATACATATCAAACAGTACAGAAAGTAGTTGTTCAGTATTATAAGATTCAAAACAGTCACCCTACCATCTCCCTGCTCCCCTCGTCATCCTTCAGAAGGAACAGCGAAATGCCAAGGAAGCTGGAGGGAACTACACTCCAGCTTTGACTGAGCAGGAGGTATATGCCCAGGTGGCTCGTCTCTTTAAAAACCAGGAAGATTTATTATCAGAGTTTGGACAGTTCCTGCCAGATGCCAACAGCTCAGTGGTAAGTTTCATTTAGACAAACATTGCTTAGGATTATTATCTTACATGTTTGAAAAAAATGAGGAGGGGGCTTTTTTTAAATGATAGTTACTTTGATCAGAGCGTTAATCTCGTTCATGTGTTTTAATCAGCTTTTAAGCAAAACTACTGCTGAGAAGGTAGATTCTGTGAGAAATGACCATGGAGGTACAGTGAAGAAGCCCCAACTGAATAACAAGCCACAGAGGCCCAGCCAGAATGGCTGCCAGATCCGAAGGCACTCTGGAACAGGAACCACTCCTCCAGTGAAGGTGAGAGAGGGCAGGATCTGCTCATTTAAACTTGCACATGAAACCCAGTCAACAATTGCTTTTGAGGGTAGCTGTGTATTAACTGAATTCGAATAGTTGGGTACTGGATATTCAGAACAAAACTTGCTACTGGCTTTGTAAGATTGCTAGAAGACCATTTGTTACTTGGTAACCTGTTCTTCTATATTTTTTCTGTGTTTCTTTACTGTGAGCTTCCACCTCAGTTTTTGTTTATTACCCAGGCTTTCCAAGATGTACTGATTTTTCTCACCTGATTTGATGTGTTAGACCTGCCTTGTTCTACAAAAAGAAAATTCTCTTTTTTTTTTTTTTTTAAGATTTGGTTTGTTTGTTTGTTTGTTTTGGGGTTTTTTTTGGTCTTTTTGAGACAGGGTCTCCCTGTAGCTCCAGCTGTCCTAGAACTTACAGAAACTCGCCTGCCTCTGCCTCCCGAGTGCTGGGATTAAAGACGTGCGCCACCATGCCTGGCTTATTTTTTAATTTTATGAGTGTTTTGCTTCCGTGTATTTAAGTGTACCATATGCATGCCTGGAGGTCAGAAGAGGGTGTTGAATCCCCTGGAACTGGAGTTAGAGTCAGTGTGAGCCACCATGTGGGTGCTGGGAACAGAACCCAAATTCTCTGCAAAAGCAGCAAGTGTTCTTAACCACTGAGCCATCTCTCCAGCTCCAGGTAGAAGATTTCTTGAGGTTGATGATAATTATTTCAGAATCTCAGGGGCAGTAAGTAGTTCAATTCTTCTGAGGGTAGTACAGGCAGTACAACGGTCGTATTTGAGCACTTTGAGTAGGGCTCTGTTCTGCCCTTAGTTCTGTATTGAGTTGACAGATCTTACTTGTGTCCCTAATGAGAAATTTTGGGCTGTACAAGAGGGAAGTTTTAGGTTCCTGTTAGTAAATCACCACAAGATGTTTGTTATAGTAAACGTTGCTCATCTGTCTGTAGAAAGCTAAGCTTGCATTCGTCTTTGATTAGTGTGTGGGTGGCAGGGAGAAGTCTATATGTATGCATTGAATGTTGAATTTCTCAAGCAGTAGAAGAGAGAGGTGTCTGCAGAATTTTTATTTTAAAAAAAAAAAAAAAACAGTGGGAATTTCTAATGGTAAAAGATGACTGGGACTGGTAGCCAGTGAGTGGACTCTAAGGACTGGCACAGTAGGTGTTGCCAACACTTTGGAAGGACCCCATTTTTTGGTGCTTGCTTTTTTTTTTTTTTTTTTTTTCTTTTTTAAGAGCCAGGGTCTCTCTGTAGCCCCAGCTGGCCTGGAACTTGCTATGTAGACCAGGCTGGCCTTGAGTTTACAGAGATCCACCTGACTCTGCCTCCCAAGTGCTGGGATTAAAGGCATGCACCACCACGCCCATCTGCAATGTTTTGAAATCAAGTTGAGCACTTTAACCCACCCCTTCAATATATTCTGTAGGTTACAAGACTCTGCTTAATACTTAGATATGTTTCCTTCCACACTTTATGATACACAGGTAGAAACAGTATGCTAGTGCTCATAGTTCCCCACATACCATAGGCAGAGAGCAGAAGCTGTTAATTCATTTTCTGTTTTGTTTGCTTCGGATT